GAGTCAAAAGGGAATTTTTTTTTACCAAAAATTCCAAAAGGGCAGAGAGAGTCAGGTTAGAAAGTATTGAAAAAGCATTTCCCAAGAGCAATTCAAGACTCTAGTTTAGTTCAAACGGAATCAATTAACGTTATCAGTATTAACGTCTTTTTTTAAAAAATTTCCCACTCGATGTTCGAAGTTCACATTGGCGGATATTCAACCTTGAGCGTCACATCACTCTTCCTATCTAAAGAATTAAAACATAAAAGAAAAAAAAAAGAATTTTCGCAAGCCAATTAAATTCCTAAAAATTAAAATTTTTGAATCAATTAAGGAGACGTATACCTCAAATACATTAAACACTAGGTCCCAGTGGCATATTAAATATTCGTTTTGATTGTGGTTAAGTAAATTTCTAATGTACAACCATAACAATAATAATAACAATAATAAAGAGCTTGGAATGAATAATGTATACGTAGATTTTATCCTTTTCTTGAGAGAAGAAAATCTATTTCGGATAGAGTCTCAATTCAAGAAAATAACAAAAACTGAATAAACTAAAGTAAAATATTAAACAAGACATGATAATTTTTTTTTAAAAAAGGAACTATAGCTATAATCAAATAATATGATAATCAAAGTATAGAAAATAATGAGTTCAGAGTCAAAAGGGAAATTTTTTTTACCAAAAATTCCAAAAGGGCATATCAATTTTTTTAAACCAAAAGGGAGAAATCGTTCCTGACGAAGCAATTTCCCTCTGACACAATATTGATGCAGTTACATGTGAATGTTTGAGTTACAATTAAAAAAAAAATTGGAGGGGGAATTTCGCTGCCTTGTCAGCGATTTTTTAATAAAAACGCTATCAAGGCAGTGATTTTTTTTAAATAAAAACGAAAACACTATCTTGGTAGCGATTTTCAATAAAATAAATAAAAAATCTTAATGCCTTGGGAGCGTTTTTATTAATTTATTTTTTTTATGAAAATGGCTGTCTTGGGAGCGTTTTTATTAAAAAAAAAGATCTTTTGAAAATGGCAGCCTTGGAAGCGTTTTTATTTTTTTTAAAATTGAAAATCCCTGCAGCGAAATTTTCCCTCCAATTTTTTATTTTTTTTAATCGTAACTCAAACATTCACATGTATCGGCATCAATATTGTGTCAGAGAGAAATCGATTCGTCATGAGCAATTTTGCCGTTTTGGTTTTAAAAAAATTTGATGTGACCTTTTGAATTTTTTTTGCCCTTTTAACTTCGATAATAATACAGACTATTAGTATGAAAAAAATAAGCAAGGTAATAATACAACTATTAATTATCAACATTCTACCATATAATCAAATATCCGATGGACTCACTTATTTAAAATCACATGCTTAGTAAGCTAAAATTTTGTTATGTCAAACTAGTGTTTTGAAAGACTCTGTTGGGATTCGCCCTAGGGCGGGACTCTAGCAAAACTCCCCGAGACTCAAGTGTGAGGCTTAGTTCTATAAGACTTACGCTCTAAGCACGCCAACTCTCTGGGCTCGCCTATGACAAATTATGCATTAAAATATTTAGTTAACATTGTTGACCATCTTTATTTTTTGAATAAATGAATGATACTTCATAATTGTTTAATCTATAGAGATAAGATAATTGAGAGTAGTGTTTTCAAAATGTTTTTGGGGCAAGTCTCGGGGTGGGGGGGAGGTACCAAAAACGCTCCGGAGCGTAAATTAAAGACATGGATGCATAAGGCGTAGGTTCTAAAGTTTGAGGCGTAAACCTCAAGCGTAAAAATGTAAGTCCTGGGAGTTATAACGTATGTCCAGGTGTTTTTAATTTATTTTTTTAACGTTTTTTTCTTTAAATCATATTTTTTTATTGTTGGTGTAATAATATTGCTCAAATAGTAATTATAATACTTTTTTTGATTCATTATTGATTATTAATACTTATCTCAAATAAATATCATAATATAATTTCTATATATTATAGGTTATTTATAAAATTTATTTGTAAAATCATTGAAAGGTTTACTTTTACTTATTTTATTAGTAATAAAACTATAAAATTGATTATACATGAGACTATGCCCTGTAGATCCATGGAACTTACGCCCCGTGTCTCGGGGCTTACATCTCGCTCCGTCGTACTGTATAAAACGTCTCGCGTTACACCCCTGCCTTTTAAAACACTGTGTCAAACTAAATAAGAAGAGGCCAAAACAATTTATTTTTACTTGTTAATTATTTTTAATCGGATTTGCCTGAGGACTAAGTGGTTGACTTTTCTTTAAAAAGAAATAATATTATATTAGCTTGGTCATCATATATGACAAAGAAAGCTTAAAAGAATAATCAAAACTACTATCACAAATCACAATCGTCTTCTTGACATTTACAAGCTGTAATATAAAAATCAAACCAAAACTAATATTACCCATTAAGATTAATGGATAAAAATCCGGTAATTTATATAGTTTTATGTGTTTATTTAGCCATATTCCTAATCCACTGCATACTTATGACTTAAACACGAATTCTCCTACTTAATTAGTGTTATGAGCTTTAAATTATTTGTCCATACCTAAATCTTCAAATACTTTAAAAACTAAGGTTTCATGTATTTTCACTATCAAATCTCTAATCAAATCCCATTATACGTCATATTCAATTAACTATTAACTAGGATGTGTACTATTTGGATTAAATCGAAAAATCAAATCAAATTAAACCGAATTTTAATTTGGATTGGTTTTTTGTATTTTTGATTTGGTTTTGGATTAATAATTTATTTTGTTTGGTTTTTTGGTTTGGTTTCGGATTTAGAAAAATGAAAACCGAATTATATATATATATATATATATATATTATAGGGATAAGGGTCTGAAAAATATCCTCACTTTGATCGAATTTGCTGTTGCGATACTAAACTTTTATGAGAACATATATATATATTATAATGTTTAGAATTAAGTTTGAGTTAACCACTTTTGTCCCTTTTAGTTATTTTCATTATGATTTAGATTATTTTTTCTTATGTTTGGACATCTATATATATATTATTTATTTCAAATTGCAAATATAACTTTGTTATATTTCTAATTATTGACATAACCGATTAACCGAATCGAAAAAACCCAAACTAAAAAGAGAAAAACCAACCCAAATCAAATTTATTTTGGTTCGGATTAGGTTACACTTCTTCAGAACCAAAAACCAAAAAACCCAAATCGAATAGTACAAAACCAAACCAAAAAAACGAATGCACATCCCTACTATTAACAAAAGAGATATTGTGTTTTATTTTTTTAATAAATATAAGAGAAAGATAAAATATAGCAAGGTTTAATTCTTTGTACAAGGCTAAGGGTCTATTTGAAACGGATGAAAACATTTTTTTATCATCAATCTTTCCATTTTTCTTAAATTATAAATTAAGATGTTTGAAAAATTCTTTTTCTTAGGTATTATTTGTCTGTCGATCATTTTCATCTTCTTCTTCATTACATGATCAATTTACATTTTAAGTACCCTGTTTAGTCCTCTTTAATTAACTTAAGGCCTTTAGATTTTTATGGTTGCCTCGATATTACTTAAGGCCTTTAGCTACTAATATCCAATTAGGAAAGTTTAAGTTTTTTTGGATCGATTATTTATTGATCGTATTAGAGTAGAGTAGGTGAAATAGCGGCTCACGATCGGAATATATCATGATAAGAATATTTCATCAAGACTTAAAGAGTAAGTTTTGCATATTGTTGTTCAGGCCTACACTAATGTAAGAGGTAGAACGCTAATCTTTTAATAAATGCACATGATTAGATGTTTAAATAGATGTGGGAGCATATTTTATATGATAAATATTAGGAATGAAGTACTATAGAAAAACGTGGAAGAAGACCCACGGCGAATAAGAAGAGAAAAGTTTAGATGGTTCGTACATATAAAGAAGAAGTGTGCCAAAACACTAGTAAAATGGTGTAATAATTTGACTATAATCAATTTTAAAAGAAGTAGAGATAGACGTCAGAAAATTTGAGAATAGGAAGACGATAGAGACATAATATGTTAAATCGTCAACTTACTTTTGAATAAATATAAAATAATGAAGGTTAAAAATTAGGATAAAAGAATAGTAGACAACAAAGTATCGTGGAAAAGGTAGGAGATAGTCTCACTATCTCATTTTTTATTTTTGAATAAATATAAAATAATGAAGGTTAAAAATTAGGATAAAAGAATAGTAGACAACAAAGTATCGTGGAAAAGGTAGGAGATAGTCTCACTATCTCATTTTTTATTTTTGAATAAATATAAAATAATGAAGGTTAAAAATTAGGATAAAAGAATAGTAGACAACAAAGTATCGTGGAAAAGGTAGGAGATAGTCTCACTATCTCATTTTTTATTTTTGAATAAATATAAAATAATGAAGGTTAAAAATTAGGATAAAAGAATAGTAGATAACAAAGTATTGTGGAAAAGGTAGGTGATAGTCTCACTATCTCATTTTTTTTATTTTATTTTTCACTTGATGTCTGCTATTCGCATTAAAATTTGATTAAATTTAAATTTGTGTAAAAAAATCTTATGTTTAAAAATAAAACATTCTCTAACAAAAACGACTTTCTATCCTAAAAAATTCAAACTTAAAATCTTTAAATTAAAAATAATAAAAGTACTTATTATTGATTTACCTTCTCGTTTTATACTTAAAATTAGTAAATTCTATTTAGTAGCTACGTACTATTTTATTTACATTTTTTTCAATTATGTATTATTTTGAGTTAAATAACCATCAAAAATAGTCTTTTTATTAAGATAAAATAAAATTTACCTATTTAATGTTGAAATTACACTAAATACTAAATATATTATTCTTCAAATTTGCCTATATCTTAAATCTATCACTACTAATTATTGTAATTTGTTAAAATTAGTCCTAGATATAAAAAGTTTAATATCTGGATTAGTTATATTTATTAACCAAATTCTAAATGTAAAATATATCACTGACAATTCAGCTGCACTTTTTGTCTTTCTTCTTCCTCTCTCTCTCTCACACACACACACAGTCACTGTACAACATTCACTTTCTCATTCCTTTGATCTATAAAGCATCAAAAAACAACTCTCCATTACTAACAACTTCTACTTCCATTCCTCTCTCACTTTTTTACAATCTTTTTAATTTTTTTCACCGGTAAAAATGGACCAAGTTCAGCCAATGTACCGGCCACCTCCGCCGGAGACACCCAAAGAACCTATGGAATTTCTATCTCGTTCATGGAGTCTCTCTGCTTTTGAAGTCTCTAAAACTTTAGCTCATCCTCAAGTTTTACCTAAATCACTATTTAGTGGTACCCCTTCTTATATTGGGAGTGGTAGTGGTACTATACCGGAGGATATTGCCGCCGAGTTAGATGAATCCGCCATTGTTTCCGGCAACCCTTTTTCCTTTGCTTCTTCTGAAACTTCTCAGCTTATTATGGAACGCATTATGTCTGTTTCTGTAAGTACCCCTTTTCACTGCTCTGTTTTTTACAGAAAAAAAAAAAAAACAGAGGAATTTGGGAATTTGACTTTTTTTGTTTGTTTATTTCTGTTTTCATGTGAAACCCATTTTTTATTTTTGGATTTTTTTGGTGGGTTTTACTATTTTTTGGATTTATGGGAAAACCAAGAGCTTCTTGGTAGGAGCTGAGTTTGGGGGACATTAATGGTGACACAACTGTTACTTTATGATTTCTTGAAAACATCAACAAGTGAATTTAATTTATATTTTGCTTTTTCAGAGCTATTACTGGTTTTACTCTCTCTGGGATTTGCTTTGATTAATTTAATAATTTAAAATCCACCAACAATCATTCTCTCCATTTCCTCTGTTATAAGAAAAAAATTAATTATTTGTCTCTTTGTTTCTGGGGTTCTGTAATTTTCAAATCCTTAATGATCCCGTTTTTCTATAGTTTTTAGTACTATCTATTATTTTATTGATTGATTTTTATATTTGTGGTGTACAGCAGGATGTTTCACCACGCACATCTGGACGGCTCTCTCACAGTAGTGGACCTTTAAATGGTGGCTCTCTTACAGACAGTCCCCCTGTTTCTCCTTCTGAAATGGACGATTCTAAGGTTTGTGTTCTTTGTTTTTCTCAGACATATGACTCAGATATTGCTTCTTTTTTCTCCATTGTATGTTTTTTCTGATACAAAGCACGAGTTTCTGAAGTTTCAGACTTGGGAGAGACAATATATCAGCTTTCTCTTTAACCAATACCCCTACAAACTTTGTACCAAATTGATGCTTTTCTTTGCTTTGTGAACAAAAGAATAGTCTTGAATCACATGTTTAGTAAGATTTCCCCTTTTTTTAATTTGGTTTTGTAATTTCAAGAATTGATCATATATTAACTTCTATGATAGTATTTGTTTGATTGATATCTGAAAGAAGTAATTTTTTTTCCACTAGTATAAGAAATTCATCTGTACATGATGGGCTGTGAGAGAAAGGACAGTGTATTCAGTATTCACTGTGATCTTCTCTGTTTAGTACTGAGAAGATTTTGGTACCTCTATAGTTTCAGTGATATTACTGAATGTGTAAATTACCAGATTGTCCTTTGTTTTTGATGTCAATATTGGATTACTATTAAAAAAATTCATTCTTGTTGGGAGTTATGGTGGTGGGAGAGGGGGTACTTGTTTGAGAGCCAAGAAAAAATGGTCCACTTTTCTGGTGGGTTTTTTATTCAATTTGAGATTTAATGCTCTGTCATAAAGGTGTTTGGTTCATAAATGTTTGCTGTTAATTAAGTACCTTGCAGAATGTAGGTAATCTTTACTGGCATTATTTTTTGCTGAAATAGTGTGGTGAGACTGTTTCAATGGATGCTGACACATTGTTTTGTTGTTTTTAGTACTGTCGTGTAAACAACGTGCCGGTTAATAACCAGTACAGGAGCGGTGCTACAGCTACTAGCTCGGCTGTTACTGGTGGTGGTGGTGGTGGAGGAGGGAAGACGGTGGGTAGGTGGTTGAAGGATAGGAGGGAGAAGAAGAAAGAGGAGCTGAGGGCACATAATGCACAACTTCATGCTGCTGTGTCGGTTGCAGGAGTTGCTGCTGCTGTTGCTGCTATAGCTGCGGCAACTGCAGCTTCATCTGGTAGCGGAAAGGATGAGCAGATGGCGAAAACTGATATGGCTGTGGCCTCTGCTGCTACCTTGGTGGCAGCTCAGTGTGTTGAAGCTGCCGAGGCTATGGGAGCTGAGCGCGAACATCTTGCATCGGTTGTTAGTTCTGCTGTGAACGTTCGATCAGCAGGGGATATCATGACATTAACTGCAGCTGCAGCTACTGGTACACTTCTAAACTTCTATATTTTGCTGTTCATATAATACTTACGTCTGTGGTAGGTGGTGGGTTTAATTTGTGTTATATATATGTATATACATTCCTTAATTTATGAGTATTGTTGTGTAGCTCTACGTGGTGCGGCTACATTAAAGGCTAGAGCATTGAAGGAAGTATGGAACATAGCAGCAGTAATTCCTGTTGATAAAGGGATGGGTAGTGGCAATGGTGGTGGTAGCAATGGTAGTTCAAGTGGCGAGTTAATCCCCGAAGAGAATTTTCTTGGAATTTGCAGCAGGGAATTACTCGCACGGGGTGGTGAGCTCCTCAAACGTACACGCAAAGGTATAAATTCAATCTCTTGAATATACTAATTAATCATTCTTAAGTGATGGAGTTTTGTCTTTTTTTTCCGTTCATTAATAGTTCTTTGTGTAATGCTTATTGCAGGTGACCTGCATTGGAAGATAGTATCTGTATATATAAACAGGACAGGACAGGTAAGGCATCCTTTTTCAATAATTGTATAATAAATAGTCTTTAAGATCAAATAGTTTTCTTTGTGACAATGATTCTATGATCACAGTAGAAACTTCTTGCTGAAAATTGATGTGATGAAAAGTTAAAGTTATCGCATAATCGAAACAAAAGAATCTACTTTCTTACTGCTGATTTTTAACTTGGAGGTTTCTTTTTTTGCAGGTGATGCTAAAAATGAAGAGTAGGCATGTTGCTGGGACCATAACAAAAAAGAAAAAGAGTAAGTTTTTGCTTTGCTTTTTGTCTTTATTCCTCTTTCTCATGATGTGAACACAATTGGATTGTGGGTCTTTCCTTCTATTTTTGGGGATTTGAGAAAGCAACAAATTCCACAACTTTGATCAATGAAAAAAGATTGATAAAGTTGTCATCTTTATCATAGTAGTGTGTAATGTAGTGTAGTGTAGTGTTCTTTAGCCTTTTCCTTTTTGAATTTTTTTGTAGATTTGGTGCTGGAAGTCATGAAAGATATTCCGGCTTGGCCAGGGCGCCACTTGCTTCCGGGTAGTGACAACTTCAAATACTTCGCGTTGAAGACTGTTGTACGAGGGGTCGTTGAGTTCGAATGTAGAGATCAGAGAGAGTATGATCTATGGACTCAAGGTGTTTCAAGGTTGCTAAGTATTGCTGCAGAAAAAAACGGTAGACATAAATTTTGAAGTTGTTTTTTTTCCAAGTGTAGAAACTTGCATAATGAGTAAGTTTGATTTAGTAAGGGGTTATGTTTTTTTGCCTCTTTTGATGGGATTTTAGACTAACAAAATGCTATGATATTGGATGGGGTGTTCTTTGTTTTTTTTACTTGTGGAAGTATTTCTATTGTAAAAATGAAATTAAAAGTATATGTTATCCAAATGGGGTCCTGCTTATTTTACTTTTGAAGAATATTATTTTGAGCTTATGTTATGGTCTTTGTTGTATTTCATTTTGTTAAGGATAAAGTAAAGTGAAATAAAGAAAAGATGGAAAACCATGTGATCAATGTCCTTTATTCTTTTATATATATATATTTTGTGGGGAAAAGGAAAGTGGTATCTTGGACTGTGGCACAGTCAAAAAGAGAAAAAAAGATCCAATATTTGAGTATAATATAGTGGGATATAAAGACTTGTCTGTGATTTTGTGGCACTTAATCAAATATTTGGACTTAAGCTTTTATACCTTTGTTATTGAAGCTCACATCAAGGTTTCTTTTTAGATAGATACACTTTGATTTTGTCTTGATCTATAGTAATTTCTTTTGTTTCCATTTGGAGGCACATCTTTAGTAAGAATAATATTTTTTATTCTCCGTATAAGAAATAGATCTTGGCTTTAACTCAATTATAAAATTAACTTATGAAAAAAGAATTGCTCAAGCTATATTATTTGATGAAATATAACTTTTTCTTTTTACATTCGATACAACACTCTTCAATATCTCGCCTCATGTTTAGGGTCGAACATCTACAATTAGTAAAAAGGAATTAGGATGTAGTCTCTTGTACCATACAAAGAAATAAATATTGGCCTAATATAACCTAAAAGCTAGCTAATAATTATGAAGAGTCTCTTATATCATACAAAGAAATAATTTTTGGCCTAATATAATGTAAAAGGTAGTTAATAAGGGAAGAATTGCTCAAGCCATATTACGGAGATGGTCCTCTTTTTCATACCACGTGACCTTTTCAATATTTTCTCTTGGCATAATATATAAATATATTTAATTTGGCCTCGATTGATATCTATATTTAATGTCATGCAGTTTTGAATGTGTACAAACAGACAATTAAATTTATATAAAGTTGTATGAGTATACACACGCATGCTACATGACATAATATATGCAGGATGCTGCAAATGACGCGAATTGTCATATAGTAGACCAAGAAGAATGTGCGTGTCTGCTTGTTCAATTTTATAAAAAATTATATGTTTAATTGTACACAACCAAAACTAAAGAACATAAATGATAAATAAGGCCAAAATGACACATTCATTGATTCATATATGCATCTTCTCTTTTTTATTCTACTTCAACATTTAAATTATTAACTTAAAGAAAAAGAAAAGTGCAATCAAGTTACCAATTGAAAAAAAAAGTCACATATGGTAAGGATAAAATCTCAGACCATAGGATATCTTCCAGTTTGCTAAATAGAAAAATTATAAAACTCTATACACAAGAAAATTATAACAAATATTCTCTCAAAAACATATTTTTTTTCCAAGCAAATTGGAGTAATTATTTTTATTCACCAGAGATTCCAAGAAGAGCTAAGAAAAGGTTAACGATGTCTCCGAAAAGACAAATTGCTGCAATGACATATTCATCGTACGTGAAGTTCCTGATTAAGTTATTCGTATCGTATACTAGATATGCTGAGAATAGTAATGCTGCCAGACAACTATATACCACTCGTGCTTCACGTCCTAGATCGAGGATAAACTGTTGCATTTTGGGAAAAAAAATATGTTAGGGGAAAAAAAGGTATGAAAATATACGTATACGAACAAACATATACATACGTGTATATATATACGTATACGTACCTGCATTAGAATAAACATAAATAGGACTATTGAGGCACAAAATAAGAATGGGCCCAAAAAGCTGAAGTCTTTGCCTCTACTTGCAGCCCAAAATGTGTATAAGGTAAGGCTAACAGTTATAAGAACTGTTAGCCCAGCAGCAATCAAGATAGTTTCCCCTGTAAATAAATAAACAAAAACATTACATAAATGATGGGTTTCATAATCGAACACGTAAAAGGATTCAATGAATTCGAAAGATATAATAGGGTTGTAAAAGATCCAATGAATTCGAAAGATGTAACGGGTCGTATGAGGTGAAAATCTCAAAATCATTATTCATATCTAATTGTCAGTCTCAATTATTCTTTTATTTTTGCGTAAAGTAAATATTCATATCTATTTTTCACTTATGCTACTAGCATATTTACCAAAAAAATATTTACATTTTCATCAAAGACTAATCTCCTTGTAATATTTATATGAAATAATTTGAGTACTTCTAATGGTTATAAAAAAAACAACCACCAAAGGTGTGATGGGGTAGTAATACTAATACCCCTCCATCCATAACCAAATGTTACACGTTTAAGCATTGAGAACGGGTCACTTTTGTTTGGTAATACTTTACCCTTTAAAATAAGACTTCCGAACAATCCATGGATTAATCAGACTCCAAAACAGGTACATAACATCGGGTGAAAGCCAAAAGAAAAAAAATGAATGTAGATCTATTGTGTATTTGCGTAATAAAATTTTCACATTATGCATTTTATGCGACAATCAATTAATAATATTGTTGTCCAAAATATATAATTAAAGAAATACAACAATAATATATTCAGTCCAAGAATGATAGTATACACAACATTACTTTACCTTACGAAAATAAATATGTTGTTTTTACGTTAGACCTTTGACTCAAGATATATACTTAAAGAAATGACATAAGATTTACATAAAAATATATCCTAACGAGATTTTTCATACTGTAAATGTAATTTAACGTATTATAGCAGATTTAGAAAATATTACCGGCTCTTAAAGCGCAGGCTGCTCCAACAACACATGCTAGACACAAGGTGAAGACTCCCATAAGAAGATAGTTCCATGGATGTTTTTTCCCATAGCGACCCATCAAGAAGATAACTGCAAATTTTATAACAAAAATAAAATAAATCAAAATGATTAGTATAACATTTGAATTAAATCGTGAACTTTGAATTGCATTTGTCTAACTTTGTTTTATACTTCATTAGTTTCAATTTATATATATTGCTTTCTTTCTTGATTTGGTTCAGAAAAAAAAAAACGTTATTTTCTATGTTAATAGGTCATTCTTTTACCGTAATACTAATGCCTCATATAACATATTTAAAACTATAAAATTTAAATAACATTTAGATACATTAAAAGAGTTCTACTCTATCACAAACAATATGTTATGGTAACCTGCTTCATGTCTTTGGTACCCCAATTCAATATGTTGGGAAAGCCATCACTGCAGAAGCAATTGCAATTCATATGGCGCTGGAGAATGCTAGAGAAAAGAGATGGACAAAGGTGCAAATCTTAGTAGATGCAAAAAAAAATGATGGATATGGTACTACAAAGAACTATAGTCTCATGGGAGATAGAAACTACTTGTGAAGACATTTGGAACCTTATGAATTGCTTTTAAGTGGTCAATGTGATGCATATTCCAAGGTCTTGAAATTTAGTAGCACATAATTTAGCAAAAAATTCTATTTCGTTAGTACGCAAAGTTGTTTGGCTTTCCACTTTCCGTAGATGAATTGTAAGTGATGCTATCACATCTTTTAACAATTTGAACCTTTTTATGAATTAATATAACTAGAGTGTTGGTTGTCAAAACAAAACTAAAGTAAATATGCAGCGAACAAAGATTATATCTCAAGTTATAAATAAAAATAAAATAATCAGCCCCCCACCCCCACCTCCTCAAAATTAACGTTTCTAAAAAAATATATAAAATAATCACGATAAATAATTTGAGTAAGATAGAACAATAGAAGTAACAACAAACGAGAATAAGGTAAGAGTGTTTTACGTATAAAAGCGATGACAAGAAGAACAATTACGGTGACCCTGCCCAAAATGGTTCTCATGTAATGTTTGACGGCCGGAGTGAAGAACATGACGGTGGCGATCACGGCGGTGAAAAAAAGTTGTGTACAGACTATAGAATAAACTTTTCTTATAAATGCCCATCTCATCTGAGGATCTTCCATCTGCCCCGGATATATTTGACCGCCATTAACGCCACCCTTGTTACCGGACTCGATGTCCGCACCACCTTGCTTGAACATCTTGTCACGTTTTGCTTCTCGAAATATCTGATAAAAAATAAAATTTGAATTTCTTATAGGAGGAATAGAGTCTTGAATTATATATAGTATGTAGGAAAAAAAAATAAAAAAGTAGTCGAAAATATTGTTCTATTCACAAAGAAAGAAACATAAATAAGGAAAATTAAGTTTGTATTTGGTCATAAATCAAATTTATTTTAAAATATGTATTTGGTCATAATTCATGAAAATTGATCAGATTTTGAAGATTTAGTATTAAATATTTTTTTAATCATAAAATTTGAATAGATTTTGAAAATCTAATATTCAAGTTTTCAAAAAACTAATTCAAATCAGTTTTTGAGACTTGCGCATACAAGACTTCATTTTTTAAAAGTAATTATATTGTACGTCTAAACATAATTTTGAATTCCTAAAATTGGAACCTTAAAAACTCAATTTTCATATAACAAAACGAAAGCTTAAATTATTCAATTTCACAAAATTTAAGAACATCTATTGAAGCCTTTTATTTTATATCAAATGTTGTACTTACATCTTTAAATTATAAATTTACCTCTAGGGGTGGTAGAAAAATGTGCTTAATCAAATATCAGATCAACCCCGAAAAGGGGATGAAATGATATGGGGATAATGGTGTTATTTTGACGCAGATAACAATTGTTTTTGAATGTGAAGAAGATATAGGATTTAGATGAAATATGGAGGAAGAAGAAGAAGAAAGATTTTAATGAGAGCAAAAATTATTCTTGGAATTCCTCTTTACTTTCTTTTTGTAATTGTTATTAAAAAAAATGGAAATGAGAGGTTGGGAATTAATTTTGCATGCATATATGATTATTCTGCGGTTGGCGGTAACACGGAAGATACTACGTTCAAATTTTCAAATTTTGTGTTCTAATAATAATGAAAATATTGAATGGTTGTTATCTATTAT